TATTCATTTCAATACCGGACAGTCGTACATGGCCTTATGATTAGGGTCCCAGACTTCACATCCCGTGTTTGACTCAGCCAATTATTAATCTGCGATCAATAAATTAGCATCACTTTGTGAAACGAAGGCTTGTCAACTCAGCCCGGACAAGACAGCCTCCCCTCCAACCACTGCACACTGTAGCTGGCTGCCCACACGAGAAGCCGTTGATTTACTTTTGATGCTCAATGTAATCACTGCTGGTCATAAAACAAAACGGCCTGACACTCAGCTCCAACGCTTTCAGGCCAGATTTACAGTGGCCCTGCCACGGGAAGGGGGGACTGTGGTTGAGGTCTATGCGTGTTGGGATGTGATTTGGGTAGGTGGCAGAATGTGCCCTGACTTGGTGTCATGTGTTGGGAATGGCAGAGGTGGATACATTTCATTACTCAATTCGAATCTAAAGAGCAATTATAGCCCATCCTGCAAGCCCTTTGCAGGACCCTCCTGAAAAAGAGTCATGAGACTCTTCGATGTTTTCCTCAGTACACGCGTCATAATAATAATATGAATAGACCAACTTTGCATGTGATGACAATTTGAAAATGCAGTGTGTTCATATTTACGTATTTAAATTATTTTATTATATAACAGCCCTTTTTTGACAATACTTCAGCACGTGTTGGTAAAGAGGGGTCCAGTGCTGATGTTAGCCATGGCCAGGAAGGTCACTCATCGGTTCATAGTGCAGTGTGATTGACCACTGCACCACCACTCCATCCCCACTGTGCGTTTATAGCTTACTAAATTTATTTTAAAAAGTGGTGTTAAAATCTAAGTGTGTCTTTAAATACTGCACGACTATAATATTGTTGAACCTCAATATGGAATTAGGTACAGACTAATAAATACAGAACATATATATACACACACACAATATATATAAATACTAAATTATAACTCTTTGTCAATCTACTGCTAGATTTGGGTTGGTGAAGTGGGGGAGGGCGGAAGATTTGAGATCATTGGCCCTTGATGTGAGCTGTGGCCACGAGTGGAACTCTGTTTACCAGGTTGACAACACAGTGTGCTTGCCACATCACTCCAACAAACACAAAATAGTTACATAATGCATACATCCCACAACAAAACAGTGCAGCTTTTAAGATACTCTGCTCAGATAGACGGCGACAGTCAGTGGGAATCTAACACCAGACTCCGCAAACAACTTGCATACATTGGAGCATGCTGACTGAAAGACTATATCCTACCACCCTGCTGCATTTGCAAATTTGATAAAATAAAGAACATAAACTGTCATCCTACACTGCACTCTGTAGTGCAGACAAATATCCCCCCGAGTGCCTGAATCTTTCAGCACCATGGACAGCGGCACAGAATGGGTCAGGCAGCTTGCGCGGTCTGCAAGCTCGCAGCAGCAGCAGCAGCAGGCCACGATGACACCGTACACCACAGGCAGCAAAGCACAGCAGTGCAAAGCTTCATCTAAGGTTTCAGGGGCCCGCATTGGCAGCATTTAATAAACACGGGCTTAGAATATTTCACCATTATAATCATGAACAAGCACTGCTTCATACCATGTTAGGTAACCATTTGAACCGTGGCTCGAGTTCACAGCAAATGAAATGTAAACAAATGACTGCGGCGAAACGTCTTCCTTTCATTCTATCCTGAATAACATTATCCAAAACCTGAGCTTATTTCAGAATTTGTTTTTAAGTTAAAATGTAATGGTTGTCAATGCCCACTTACTGCAGCACTAAAGTATGCTCAATGACGTCTACTGCATATGACTCACTTCTCTATCACACAGACCGCAGAGCAAATGCAGAACAGAAATTTCCAATACAGCATTGGTGCCTCGCGATGGTGTTGCGTGGCAGGTCTTCACTCACAGCATTTTTCAATGGAATATTTTACTCCGATTGGTGTCATGTCATTAGATGAAGAATCTGTTTGGACAAATTTCGCAGAGTCGTGTGTCACCCCATGAGAGAGAATGGTCTGCTGAAGTGGGTACAACAGAACCACACTGCAGAGTGGCACTTTCCCATCCGCTTGGCTTACAGAGAGACATGGTCATTGCATGGGAAGCCGAACTCATCTTATTGACTCTCAGAGCTGGAATTATAATTTAAATGTAATAAATGTTTGCGCAATTATTGTTGATGGGACTGAGACAAGTCCACTTAATAAAATGAGTACCAACAAAATAAAATGGGTACCACATTGTGTGAAGTCAACACTATGACGCTTTATTCATGTCAGCCTTCATGTTCTGACCCAGAAAAGTGATGTGCGTCACTCACTCTCTGTTTACCTTATTTCACTCTCTATCTCTTCAATCCCCTTCTTCCCCTCTCCTCTTTCTATCTGTCGACTACAAGCCACTCATGTGCTGGGGGTCATGGCCTCTCCCCCACCAGCACACAACTGCTCAGTGGCATGAGTCATTGTTGTGTCTCGCACGCACACACAGAAGTTCATCTATAAGCCATGCGTATGCACTCTTATGCAGATAAGTACATTTTCAATATATGCTTGTCACACACACATTCGCACTAGTTACTATAAAAAAAAATACCAGATAAGGCTCACTCAACTATATAGGTATTTTTCAGAAGCAACCTGGCCACAAATGATAGCTCAATAAAGTGGCCGATCACGTGGGCATTTATAGCAGCAGCCGAACACTCTAAACGCACGTTTCTAATTCTGGAGCGAAAAATCGGAGTGCCCAGAGAAAATTCCACACGACCACGAGAAGAACAAATATCCAGGCATCAGGGTCGGGATTGAATCCACAACCTCCTATATACCAGGCAATGGGGATAACATCTCACCACCACGACGCCCCACACACATATACGTGCATTTCTCGATTGAGATAACACAAAGCAATAATCAACTTGGTAGGTCCCTCATAAAAATAGTCATGACACTGATTGAGGCGTTCCTGGGTAAACAAACATTAATAATACAATAATTTCATGAATTTAAATAAAGCATTTAAACGTTACGCAAGGCTTCGAAATGTTTCATTGATTATTACGCTCACGATAGATGCATCAAACAGTGCATGTAAGAATTGATTATTCCAACTCATATGTTTGTCCTCTTAATATTACTATAGATTTGACAAACATCACAGGAATAAAATATTATTAATTGCGGAGGGGGTGGAACATGAGAAGCCTCTTAGATAACGACCATTCTCTCCTCCTCTACCACTCTCATCCCGAGGGGTTCATCGTTCTCATGCCCCAGATGCTCCTGACTCTCAGATCCAACCCCCCACACGCACCGTCCCCACCTCTATGGATTGTGCTTACAGCCGTGGCAAAATCTGCACGTTCGACTTGATCCTAAATGGCCCCATCTAAATGACCCCTGACACATATAAAGTATCCTGTGACCATGTAATACCTTTATCCTGTGACTGAAGACAACTTTCATAATGCAGTATTCAATTCAACACTACACCGTTCAAGTCAAAACGTTACTTTCATCGTCCTGAAAGAGTACATTCTTTGTCAAATTACGTATTCACGGAATGTCAAACATTTACATTTTGACAAATTCTGTGAACACGTGGGTCGAGTGGGAGGAACCGACTGTGGCCAGAGAAAACCTGTGTATCCGAGGTGATAACATTCAAAGATCCACACAAACGTGTTCATCAACCTAGTGTCTGTACCGACACCTGGCCATGTCGCAGCCCTACCGGTTTGTAAGTGTTACAAATGTATGGAATACACCAACATCTGCATCTAAAATTCTCGATTACATGTGTGTTTCACCATGCCTGGCTCAGTGTGAATTAATTCATTGATCCTAGGATATGTGTTCATATATATGCAGTATACAGTTGCGAAGGGACATATTTACAACCTGCAGGCACTTTTCAAAGCTAAAAAGTGGACTATAACACTGGCACACAACGGACTACTCTTGTGGATTAGATGTTGCGGGGTTTTTAAGGTCCACTTAGCAATTCCCTGCAGACATTACTGGGTGGCTGTGGTAGCAAAACACTGAGTCCACACAAAGTGATTCGATGGCAGACACTCCAGCAAACAGGCTCAACCAAACCAAAACGGGCCAACATTTGAGTGTCACACTGAGCCCAAAAGGGATGTCGATGAACAAAAACTTGCCATGCCATGTTGGCGCAGACTCTTTCCTAACTCGGCTATACAGAGACGCGTCACCAGGTGATTAACCACCCAACCGCGCCGGCTCACGCCTGGCGGCACTCAGCGTGCGCGGTGCCTCGCTCTGCCGTGATGAATGGACCTCTTCGCACCGCAAGCCACCACTCTTCTCTGACAACTGCCCCGTGCGGCTGGTAAATCAGGACCGGGACAAAGTGCAGGGACAGACATTCCGTGCAATGTCTCCTGGCCACAGAGAGGGGGCGGCAAAGGGTGGCTTGGTTGGGCGTGGGATGACCTCCACCAAGCACCTTCACTGTGTCTTACCTGCTGTGGCAATATGTCAACGTGCTACTGGGCTCATGCAGTATCACCTAATCAGTGAAATAGTAATATTTAAAGTGTATAATGCGCATTCCAGCCTCGGAACCCAGTGTGCAATGCATGAAAAACAGGAAACAAAAACAGAACCAGGGGTAACCGACCCAACTCAAAAGGGGGGGCCACTTTAGAAAGATGGGTTTTCAAAGTCGACTTAAACATGTGCGACTGCTGGAAGGCCATATGGAAATTGAAAGCAAGGAGCTGCATTTTATACCTTTAAGAGACAAAACAGCAGAACTCACTTCATCAGGAGACATTTTACACAGGTCCTAATATCATTCTGGACGATATGATACGAAGGTTATATTTTTATTTGCAAAGATTACCGTCACGTGATCGTTAGGATTCACTTCACAGTGGCTGGCTAGATGGAATTGAGCCATCGACGCCCTTAAAAACGAACCACTCGGCTCTTTATGACGCTGCAAAAAGTGTCCGCGATGTGAGGTGCGGGCTCACCTGGCGGAGGTCGAGGAAGGCGAGGGCTAGAGAACCATCCTCAAAGCCAGGCACCGGTCCCGAGCACGCAAACACTGCATCATGCCACACACACGGCGTCATCACACAAACACTGCATCATGCCACACACACTGCATCATGCCACACACAGGATAAATACAAAGACCCCCCCCCCCTAATTTTCCGTATGGACTGTTGGGCAAGAGCCGTTCGCGAGCGCCTATTAAAGCCGACAGACTCCGCAAGGGTAGTCGTGTGACCAGCACCATGCCCATCTGCCTTGGTCTCTCCGGTACTGATGTTTACACTCCTAGACCTTTTGGACAAAAGCAGTCACCATATAATAACCTTTGATTTTGTCATTCACTTCAAGACATCCTTGAAATTAAAAGAGGCAATGACCTTTGTAGAGCAGGTCTGAGTAACTGACCTTTGTATCAATACTGAATTGAGCAGGCAGGCTCAAAGAGGAACATTCAGTATGAACATTAAATATAATTGTGGGGTGAAAAAATTATATTTTAAAATGATGAAAGTTCTCTCGCGTTGACATTAAATATGTATATAAACACGAAGCATCAATTTGCTGATGGCAGCTCATTTTCTCTTGTAGAGATTTGTCTTGTTCATTGAACTTCAACATATGTATGCCTTTCAAAACCAGTCTCCCAAGATTCCCAGCATCTAAAGGTTTCTAGATATTTAAATTAGCGAAGGGAATTACAAAAGTTTCCCTCTATGTAACCAATTACATTGGCAAACAAGTCCGCTGTTGCAAATTACGTCTATTTCATCCACTTTGCAGCATGCTTCTTGCATTCATAATTCCTGAAATAAATTTCCAGGTATCTATTGAAATTGAACATCAACACTGAGCAGTTGCACATTTCTACGTCCTAGTATAATATTATGTACACACTAGAGCAAGCCAATTGAAAGATAACATGAAGGTGGCTATAAGACTTTAATTGCGAACTCATGTGAGGCCTATCCAACACTGCTGGTCAAGGCCTATATCAGGCTTAGCTAGCATTGATCAAATCCTTATTTAAATGCATCTCCTCTCATTTAATTCGTAAATGTCATCTTCATCATCTTTGATCATATTCTCTTATGCAGCATTTGTAGTAAATTTTATGTCTTGGATTCTTTACAAAATCACTCAACTGTAAAGTGTTCCTTTAATTGAACATCGCAAGCGTGCACCTTCATGCACTACGGCTAAATAATAGGCCTTTGCAACTTCTTAATTCCCAATGTACCATAGGTGTTTGTTATCTGTCACGACTAGCAGACATTCAATGATCGTTGCTGAGCACTTTCTCCATGAGATACAACGCCAATTTGTTCTAAGAACCACTGCTCTCCTTTCTTGCAGTGATCTATCCTGCTGCGTTAGTTATTCATCAGGGTGACTGTCATTCGTCTCGAGTGGGTGTTCCGGATCGTTTTAAAAACGGTGATTTCTTCTCGCGTGTGCACACGTGCCGTGGGTGGGGGTGGGGGCATACGAAAGGGATGTTATAGGTAAACAAAAAAATAAAGCATAACGCAAGGTGGTTTAGAACGAGAAGAAGACCCGGGATGCTTCCTCAATCTACATCGTCCGAGCGAGGGAGTGAGTGAGCGAGCGAGCGACTCGGCCCGCGGCCGTCACTCGGCGACCGCGAGCGTCTGGAGACGGCGCGTCGAGGAGAAATGCGAAGACGGAGGAGAATGTCGACGGGATGGCCGCTGTCGGACGGGGGCGGGGGGCGGGGGGGGATCGTGGCCGAGTGGCAGGCGAAGATGCGCGTTACGTTCTGTTAACAAGGGCTTCTGTGTGGACAGATCGGCCGTGTTGAGCAGCAAGTATCTCAACACTAAGAGCCTCGCAGCAGTAGAAGTTCAGATGCGGGTTTCTTTTTTCCGAATTGCCATATTGCAGAAACGTTGCCAGGTCTATTCAACTCGCGTGTACCGGTATTTAGTGAAACCGCTCGGGCTAATTAACACACCTGCTCTTGTGAAAAGGGCATTATATTTTGTTTTCACAGGACGATGCTAAATTTATGTATTGCTTTTTTACATATAATGCCAGCACTACGTACAGCAACGTAAGCTTGAGCTCTACTGTGCTGTAGATGATCCGTCTTCTTAAACCGCAACGTATTTGATGAGATGTCGAAGGGAGGATGCGAGGCACACACAGCACGTGGCATTGAGTCCCGAACACAGCGGCTCCAAAGCCACAGCCAATCGGCGCACAGCTGCGCTCGAATTGAGCGCAGCGTGAACCCGCAGCACCCCGTGCTCTCCGACTTAAAAACAATATATACCTAGCACGCAGCTGCTAATCCGTACCAGAAAGAACCCATGCGGGGAGAGGGAACAGTCGTGCCCTTCTGTTCTTGTCGCTGCAGCTGAATTGTAGCAGTGTAGAGTGCCCCCTACAGATTCAAAACATTATAAAAGGTGCCCAGATTCGCGTGAAGTTTGTTTTCGACTCTTTCGTGGAAATCTAAGATGAGCCAGATATTTAATCAACAACAAACACAAAAGGATCAAACCTACTCTTTGGTTCTTTCGGTAAAGTCACTGTGACTTTACCGAAAGAACCAAAGAGTATGGATCCCTGCAGTCACGAAAACTTCAAATCTAGATTAGGATCAAACCTAAAACGTGCTTTAAATGTTGTATTACAATGCAGAATAAATTATGCAGAATGGCAGCACGGTGTGATTCTAATAATTCTAATGCATTCTAATCCCGCACCTCAAATAATCAGGGTTGGCTACGTATGGTGCGAAAGAAGTTCAACATACATGCGTACAAGTGACGAGCACGCTTGTGAATTATGGTCCAATGGGTGGCCACTCCCTCTCAGAGCGTCTCACAGATGCAACGCGCCCTCCCTCCCAAGGTGTGATTGGAGCTTTTCCAGCACCGACATGAAAAGTTTCAGCATATTTCGTGGAAGCTCGCACTATTGTTGGCTGTGCCCTGGCCCTACCCACGTTCGGCCGTTTAACAACTGTATAAGTGGTGGCAGAATGGGTACGTTTTTGTGCGAAATTGTTGGGTTATGAATTTATAATTTATAATATATATTTTTTTCACCTTGGTGCACAAATAGATTCGGGTCCGAAGCATATCTCAGGTCAAATGAGACCGTGGCAGTTCTGTGCCTTGGCGGAAATTCAGTATTCCCACAGTGGGGACCATTTTCTCAAGATGACTTTCATGACTTCCCATGAAGTATTTGATATCGCAATATGCCTGGAGTCACCAGTGACGTAAGCGGTGGCATAGCTGCTCGTCCTGCACGCTACGATTTTGGCGAGCCATGCTTGATTCTACCTTTGCAGAACACCAACGGCAATTGACATCTGAACCGTAGCCTAAAACAATCGTAGTTGATGCAGTTTGTGACCATGAGCATTGGGGAGAATGTACGTGTGTGTGTGGGGAGCAGTAGTGTAGCAGATAGTGCTACGCTGCGCTTCGAACCCGGCATCCCGAGTTCAATTCCCGCTCACGGCCAACAACAGTGACGATTATTTGAACCGGTCCTGGGCCTCCCCTAGGTCGACTCAGCCTCAAATGAGTACCTGGTGCGATGTGCAAACATCGCCACTAGGGAGACAAAGGCGGCCGGGCGTGGTGTTGGCCACCCACCCCCTCGTATGCCATACCAGCCTTCACAGGTGCTCGCTAACAGCACTTGCTCCAACAGTATATTAAGGCATTACGGGGCATCTTTGTGACAAAGACAATGTGTACGTGACAAGAGTGTATGTGAATATGTGCGGCACGTCGGTAGGTGTTTGTGTGTGTGGCCACCCACCCTCGCACTGCATGAGATCGAGGCTGAGCTGCTGCAGGGCGCCCGCAGACAGCCGACTCCCCGAGGCGCCCAGCAGCAGCGCGAGCAGCGAGGCAGCCAGGTGCTTGCAGCACGACATGCACGCCGCCTTCGCCACAGCGCGCTTACAAGAGACAAAGATCCCCCGTGTAGCCTTCAACAGACTGTTGGGGCAAGTGCTGTTAGCGAGCTCCTATTAAGGCTGGGGGTAGGTGGCCAGCACCACGCCCGGCCACCTTTGTTTCAACAGTGCTGATGATTACACACCGCACCAGGCACTCACTTAAGCCCAGCTAGACCAATGGCCCTGTTATTGTCGTGGTCTGACAGAGGGGCCTCTGTCATCTGATACACGTTCATATCATCGACGTTCCTAGACATGAACACCTAACATTTTACGTCCGTTCAATGAAAAGTTGTAGAGAAAAAATAGGAAGCACTGCCGCTGGTGTTTCACCCCATAGTATTAAACGTATACGCGCACTATCGGTGTTTGTCGTGGAACGATAACATCACTGCAGGGTGGACGTGCGTGTCTTTGCGGGTGACCGTCTGATGCGAGGGGGCTTCTCACGGGCAGGCAGGAGAAGAGGGAGAAGATGCTGCGCAGGAACGTGAGCAGGTCGAGGAGGTAGGAGCTCGCGCGGCCCGTGGGTTCCTCGCCGGCCCACGCGTACTCGGCCAGCGACAAAAACTCGTCCACTTTGCCCACGAGGCGCGACTCCACGCTCTCCTCTGCCAGCCGCCGGGCATCCTGAGCGCACGCGCCGTGTGTACACAGCCACACTCACCAGCCGGCTCGGCCACACACCCCCTCACTTGAAATCGGAAGGTCGTGAGGTCAAATCCTGGCTGGGGGCCGACTCAGACCGTTATCTCTCTGGGGTTTAGAAAATCGGTCCTACTTTCTCGGGAAGGGAACAATGGTTTTGCTATGGGTAGACTCGCCCCGGCCATAACAATATGGAATGTCCACCACTGGCTCGGGACTGTGTACAGGAGATAAACACCGCCTCAATGCTCTGAGCAAAAAATAATTCTGACTTTTAATCAAGACAGTGGTAACCATCAAATATACGTTAACATTATTGTACAGGCAGGATGTATTCCATCAGCACCAAGCCCCACTGGACCTAAAGTAGTCTAAAGTTTATGGGCGAATCCGATGCCAGATACGGCTCTAACGCTACTGCTGCTGTGAATTCTGCTGTTGCTGGTGTTGTCGTCCATGCCAGTGCCACACTCTGGCTGTCGCCTGATGAAGCTGGTTGTAATTACTGGTGAAACGTCGTACTCAGATTGTAAATGTTGTGGCTTGGCTCTCCAACACACAACCGGTTAGTGCTGTACTAGTGACGAATTGGCACGTTCTGTTTACGTGACAACCCTTACTAGTTGGCTGTGTCGGGTGGTGGCGGGTTTTAATGACACATTTATATATTTACACGATCTAACCCTAAAAAAAACCTGTAATATGGATGCAATTGGTCGCAAAAGACTCCTAAGTGTTAAACTCACCTTGAATGTGTCACTGGTATAGAGGAGCGTGTTGTGGGTGGCGCTCGTGGCCACGCCAGTCAGGCCTGAGATGAAGTCCGTGAGGGAGGGAAGACTCTGTTCCAGCTCGCCGATGTTCACACTCAGCTGCACCAGCTCCACAGCAGCAACGCATGACACAGCAGCAGCGGCAACAGCAGCGGCAGCAGCAGCAGCAGCAGCATTGCTCGTCACATCGCCACAGCGTAACCCTCCAACGTGATTAGAACAAGTCACATGAATATAGAATTTCACCGAACGCCATCACATCGCATGTCATGACCAAAGTGTTCCACGTTAGCAACGACACCGACGCATTACATCTCAACATTTTAGTGGTGCATTACAACACTGCAGCATGACACTGTACCAGGACATCACAATGAATCATCACAGCTTTGTGTCACAACATCACAGACAGTACACTGCAACACAACATCAGATGTACACAATGGCATTTTACTAGAATGCAAGACCACAGCATTGCATCACATCACGCAACAAAAAGAGTGCAAGCTAACAGCAGGACCGGTTGAGATATCACTCGTCACTGATGTTGGCCATGAGCGGGAATCAAACTCAGGTCACCGTGTTCACAGTGCAGTGCGCTCTACACTACTAAAGACAGAGACACACCCCCCCCCCCCCCCCCCGTATAGCCTCAACAGACTGTTGGGGCAAGTGCTGTTTGTGAGCACCTGTGAAGGCCAGAACAGGACACAAGGACATGGGTGGCCAGCAGCACGTCCAGCCGCCTTTGTCTCCCCAGTGGCGATGTTTACACACTGCACCAGGTGCTCATTTGAGGTTGAGTCGACCTAAGGGAGGCCCAGGACCGGTTCAGATAGTCGTCACCGGCGTTGGCCGCCAGCAGGAATTGAATTAGGGTCGCCGGAGTCCGTAGCACAGCGTGCTCACCGCTACAGCACCGCCCCTCACGCTCACGCACGCACGCTCACACTCACGCACACTCACACGCACGCACGCTCACACTCACACTCACGCACGCACGCTCACACTCACACTCACGCACGCACGCTCACACTCACGCACGCTCACACTCACGCACGCTCACACTCACACTCACGCACGCACGCTCACACGCACGCACGCTCACACTCACACCTCCATGAGGCCCAGCGAGGGCCGCGTTGCGAGCTCCATCAGAGATGCTGCCAGTGCCCGGGCGAGCAGCTGGTTCGTGGAGCGCCGCAACATGTCATCCAGCTCCGTGGTGCTGTGCGGGAGGACGTCGTCGTCGTCGTCATTGTTACAGAATTACAAAAGCACCCCACAGCTGCTCTCGTCTGGCTCATCGTTTAATTTAGCTCGGTGGAAAACGAAGCAAGGCGCCGACAAGCGGAGCAGCTACGCCGACGTCGCGTGAAGTTACAAAGCACGCGCACAAGGGGGGCCAGACGAGACCTTCGCTTGCCAAAGTTATTCTCAGCGATGTAAAGGATGCATTTCTACACTGTGGATTGTCGAAACAGAGGCAGATCTCAAGCGGGCAGCAGACGGCTGAGTTGACAAATTAAAAAAATGTGTCTGTTTCAGCACGTTCATCATACGGACAACATATATTCACAGACCTTTCACACAACTGTACGTATGCTTGGGAGATCCAGAGTGTGACTGATGGACACTTTCAGCAAATTACAAAAATATATAGACTACCATGATTCTGATAAGTTTTTATTAACTACAATAACTGTAAATAAGTTTATTCCTACGTAATGAATTTCAAGATTGGCTGATCGCAATGCAATTGGAGTGTGGAGAAATAGAGTTTTGATATAATATGAATGTAAAAAAAAAAAATACTCAGGATTTTACCTAAGATGCAGGTCCTCGGAAAACTGCAAGCAGGCCTTGACAAACTCCTGCACCTGAGTGTAGATGGCTGGGATGGCCGGGGAGAATGGCAGGCAAGCAGGGAACACCTGCAATCAACACACACACAAAAGACAAAGACCATTTGGCAAGTTGGCTAATCGCCATCTGTTTCCATCCGTACGGGGATGGAGTGTTTCCCCTCGCGCATGGGGGTTTTCTCCGGTTGCTACGGTGTGGTGTGGTTTGGAGGAATCACCAGACAGTTGATTTGGCCCAAATTGGCTCAGTGTCCGATGGCTAGTCACTGTGTGCCCTCTACAGGGAGCTGAGAAAATCCCATGAACTCACGCTGCTTTTCCACCACAATTATAATCATTAGATCCCAGCTGTGCCGGACCATTTCTGCCATGGCTTGGCACAACTCGGATCCCAATGCATGGCTCTTCTCTGAAAATTCACATACGATTGGGTTAGCTTCATCATCCTGAGATAATGTGTACTTTTTCAGCAGTTTCTGAAATAAAAAAAAAAACGCGGCCCTGGCATTGGCCTAAGTGAGAGAGATGCCACCGCCAGCACACATCTCTCCCCGCGGTGACCACGTGACGTCCCCTCTGATTAGCACGTTTGGCTATGTACGGTACGAAAGAAGTTCAACATACGTGCGTCACGACTCTTTTTAGGGGTAGCCTGGATAAAAATGGGTAGCCCCGTTGGCAAAGTGAGCCTCTCAGTCCAGCGTGATCAGACCGCACGGCCCAGCTGCAGCTTGCTTGCTTGCCCGGCTGAGGCTGCCAGGGGAATCCCTCTCGGCCCACTCGCCTAATTCAGGACCGCACCAGTCGACTAAAGTTGACGCAAGAATGCATCAGTCATCGCAAACATTCTGAGGCTGCCTTGGACTCCGCGCTGTGCTGGCTCAAGAGCCATGCTCTCTTGATGGCGCTCCCAACGATCGGGTGAAGCTGCGTTCTTCATCTGGTGCCTTTGTAACAAAATAATATTACCAAAGAAAACAGTAGACGCATAAAAGAAATCAAAATATGGCATCCTTTCCAGAACGTCCCCATTAAAATGCACCCTCTGTTTGTTTTCTTATTGCACAAGATATATCCCAATTGAGCTACTGACATTTAGGCAAGCACCAAAGACTTTTTCCATTCGAAAACTCCCCGCTGACAAAAGCGCCACGCGCGTTGTATAGCAACCCGCGACTCGCATGAGCGATCTGCACCTGATTTCCTTCGTCGGTCTCTGTTTCCCTAATCCCTTTGGTCTGTCTTACACAACGAGTGCTCATAGCCATAGAAGCTGGACTTGATTAAAGCTCAAGACCAGCATTTTCCAATGTTTGTTTTCGTGCAGTAATTGGAATTCTCACACACATTCTCAACACTGCTGGATCAGCGCTCGGACCTGGCCACAGCATCAGCCCCGTGAGCTTGCCCAGTCACTTCACTCCGAGTTATTGCAACCCTCTGCTGAACATACTGCGCGTGCTGATGCTTAGACACATACACGTGCATCAATCATTGGTCTAAAAATACATGCATATAATTCTGTATATATTCATTATATTATACCACACACGACCTACCTGAATAAAAAAAGTAAAAATAAATCCTGTTATCCGTTAATTGAGTGCTTCGTAAAATATTTCCCGGATAAATTGATGACACGGTGGTGATATGGCGTCATTGTTCGTGACAGCATGTGCGCTACAAAAGCGTCACGGATTGTAAAGCGATGATGAGTAGACACATATGTGGCAGGATGATGTGGAGCGAGCTGCAGTTGGATAACTTCTAAGCAATCTCTACTCGTACTTGAAGCACAGCGAAGTACAAAATCACGACGTGAATAACGTGGCTATAATTTACCGAAAGACCCAAAGAATATGAATTCCTGCAGTCACAAAAGCTTTAAGTCAACATATAATGAAGTCAAGATATAATTACTAAGTTGAGGGAAACTCGTGTTCTAGTAATCGTACTGTAACGTGAAAAAGTGATATTGCCGTGGCCCTGCCAGTGATGCTGGATCGGGGTGAAGACTTCTGGCAGGCTGCTGGTAAGCGGGGTCTCCCCAGATGTTGTCACAGCTGCTCCCGCCTCCCGTTCCAGCTGGAGACCACCGGGACACTTCCCATCGCATGCGGGAGACTTTTTGAGTTCCAGGGTTCGAGGAGGGATTGAAGCCATGCAAACGCCCACACCGCTTGCCATGAAACCAGTGGAACCCAATTAGAGGTGTTCTCAAAAGCGTTTTGCGAGCAACGTCAGCCTGAATAAAATGCCGGCGTCCCGTTCGGAATCAAAGTAAACACAGGGGCTTTGTGCAGCAATGGGTAAAGTTTCATAATCATCTCCTTCTGAGCTGCTATGATGAAGATAAGCACAGCCAGGAGTTGACCGGTATATTCACCTTTATCTCCAACAATCCCATTAGTTTTGCCTCATCTCTGGAACTGGCATACACTGTGAATTTTCATTCAGATAAACAACTCTTTCTACTCTACATTGATCAGTAAAAGGCACAGAGAGCCAAACAAAGGCCCCACGTTCATTCCCTGGTGGTCCAAGCAGCAACCTTTTGCAAGCCTCGTAACTGAATATATATCGCCTTTCTCAAAATGACTGGAAAATAAAGGTTTTGAGACTTGGTTACCGATAGAGTGTAATCCCTTGTACGACGTAAACGTTTAAACAATCCTGGCATTTGTGCCATCAGAGTATTTTGATCTTTAAAAATCGTTGCTCCCATGCTCAAAGATATGTCGGTGCTCATTACCATTGGTGGCCCGTTTGCAGCCACAACCACTGTTTTTCCCCACAATGTACCAGAAATGACATCCTCATATCCCAAACTATTAGACATTTCAAATAATTAAGTTACTTTCCAGCGTGTAAATCTGCAGCTCTGCACAAAACACGACCAGCGTTGCCACTCGTGTGTGTGCTAGTGTGCGAGGGCACGTACGGCTGTGAGTGTGCGACGCACAGATGAAGGCGAGCCGCAGACTGTGCGGGGAGCGGAACAGGCTCCAGTGTAGACAGCGGCCACCCCAGGAGTGAACATTGATTGTGCTGCACCAAACATACAGACAAAGATCCCCCGTGTAGCCTTCACAGACTGTTGAGCCAAGTGCTGTTAGCGAGCACCTACGAAGCCCGGCACGGCACACGAGGGGGTGGGTGGCCAACATACACCCGGCCGCCTTTGTCTCCCCCAGTGGCGATGTTTACACACTGCACAAGGTACCCATTTGAGGCTGTGTCGACCTAGGGGAGTCCCAGGACCGGTTCAGATATTCGTCACTGGTGTTGGCCGTGAGCAGGAATTGAACTTGGGTCGCCAGGTTTGTAGTGCGACGCGCTAACCACTGTAATATCGCTCCCCAGACCTGTGTACGTGAACATTTGCACGTGCGTGTGTGTGTGCGTGTGTGTGCGTGTGTGTGCGAGGGGTAGTGTTTCTAATCTATTGAGCAAACAATTGTGCATGTTTATTAAAACTAGTTTCCTTTTTTACACAAACGTCTTCCACTCCTTTACAGTAGTGTACGCATCCCCCTGTCCCATGCCTCATATTAAAGAGGAATGTTGATGTTGTCTAAACGAGCAGACTTGAATTCAATTGTATGGTGTCAATGAATACAGCTGAACTGCGATTAAAACATTTTGTGTGGTCAAATATAAGAAAAATATACAGTGGAGGCACCGTGTCAAAGACGCCAGCACACTGGACTTTAAACTAATACGTACGTACATGTGACAAAGCACACGCAATACATGTGCGTGCGTGCGTGCGCGCGTTCACGCGTCCCATCTCTGGGAGCGAGTGAGCGAGCGAAGAGGGCCAGAGAGAGTGCGCGCGCCGCGATCAGACGCGCCGGTGACGTTCGGAGTGGCCCTCTCTTCAAAGGGAGCGCTCTCCGCATGCCCTGGACGCCTGCGTCACCGCGCGGGACGAGCAAAGGTCACAGGGGACAAGCGGCGTTGAGGTGGCGGGGGGTGAGCGGTAATGTGTGAAGGGGGGGTGGCAGGATGCGACAGCTCAGGCGTTCACGCAGAGGTCACGTTCCGAGACTTGGGAGGGGCGCGAGATGACAACAGAGAAGGAAAGCAGCCAGGTTACCCCTGTCGGGTGTTATGGGAGAACATCGAAGGGGCTTGAACACTGCTCTCTTGCTGACCCACACCGCCTTGCCTGCTAAATACACACCGCACGACGACAGTTGTGTTTTGCCGAATCATCCTAAAGAAAATGATCTTCATCGCATATGTCAGTAAGAAGCTAAGGTATGGTAGCAAAGCACTTTAGATATTTGGTAGTTAAATTTGGATCAAAAGTCAAAGTGTTTTCCGTTTCAAAGGAGGGATCTCCATTGGTGGCCTCGAGCCAGTGATGGAAATTCCACATTTCCACGGCAATGGCCAAATTCACGAAATTAAGTACGATTTTTGTGGATAAATAGAGTAGATTATTATTAGAAGTGGAAAATAAGCCTTTGAGTCAAGGGGGAATGTGGAATGTGTTGGCATAACGTTGCCAGACGAGGGTAAGCAACTTGGTGGAACTTTGGAATAGAGCGTGGAAGCAAAACACTGTGGACATAATCAACAAGAAGAGGTTGCGATGGGTGGGACGTGACCGTGCCATGGCAAAGCTCAGGTTACAGAAACGGCATTGGAGAGGCGCTCAGAGGTGAGTCGCCAAGACCTCGACTGCCGAGATGTGAACCTGCATGCCCCAAGAGCACACCGGAGGCGTTGATTGTGAACCACGAAGCTGCCGTGTGATCTAGAGGAAGGATGAGACGGTGAGGTGTGGTGGCAATGTTTTCGCCACTTTACATTTGCTTCGTAACTTAGAAACACGAATATATATTAGATGCTTGGGTACCCTCTCATTGTTATACTGTCAGCTTCCTGATGTTCTCAATAGGAGGTAAAAGCAGATGGACACGTCACACATCATCAAGAAACAAAAGCAATGAATGAATGAAGGGAAGTGAGAATGAGATATTCATATCTATGCAGGAATCCTATGAGAAAGCAAGTCTCACTAGCGTGACCTCTCCATGGTTGATAACCCATAACACCCGGATCTGACCCATGACCTCCTGCCAACGATCCATGGGAACAAACTTTCTTATGGTTTGTGCAGAAACCATCCGCATTTCCTGAAGTAATGCATTGTGGTACTCCTATCTTTGGTAGCCATCAAAATAAATGTGAGCTAGAGGCAGCAGTGATGTCGAGATCGATAATGTAGACGTGTTTAATCCCACAACAGTCACCAATGCTCAATGCTGAAAAGTCTGCAGCAACAAACGAAGACATCACCATCACTAAGTGGCAAATGGCGACTGTTGTTGTATGTGTGTTCACACGTGTGTGTGTGTGCTCGTGTTCGCGTGTGTGTGCTCGTGTTCGCGTGTGTGTGCTTGTGTTCGCGTGTGTGCTCGTGTTCACGTGTGTGTGTGTGCTCGTGTTCGCGTGTGTGTGTGTGTGTGTGCTCGTGTTCGCGTGTGTGTGTGTGCTCATGTTCGCGTGTGTGTGTGTGCTCGTGTTCGCGTGTGTGTGTGTGTGCTCGTGTTCGCGTGTGTGTGTGTGCTCATGTTCGCGTGTGTGTGTGTGCTCGTGTTCGCGTGTGTATGTGTGTGCTCGTGTTCGCGTGTGTGTGTGTGCCCACAGGCTGCTCACTGTGGGGATGCTGGAGAGTGGGAAGGCGATGGCCAGACGTGCGCACTCTTCTTCCGAGGCCAGGTTCACGGGGCTGTACGAGTCACCATCCAGAATGTTCCTTACAGGCGACAGAGGCACAGTGAGCGCAGTGAGCAATGTGGGAGAACCTCACCGAACCACCAGTCTCAGCTGCTGGCCTGTTCGCGTGTCAGCCCGAGCGCTGAAACATATTCTTGGACATATTTTGTTTTGAACACACTTGCTGAGCGAGGGCCCAAAGGCTAAAAAACCTCAATGGGCCATCAACAGACAGCACCATCGCAAGTTGTAATCGATACGAGGCGACAGGTCGCTTGAATTGAGCAAGGCTGTTAGAAGAGCTTGGAGAAAAGAGACGGCGATGGGGGGTGGGGGCGAATTCCCAAGTTGAGCGACGCGAGTGAAGAAGCAGAGAGAGAGAGACAAGTGCTGCGACCTGCGGTGCCGTCACTGAGCGCAGCGAGGTCGAGACGACGCAACAGCAGAAGCGGGAATTCCTGCAGCCTCACACGGAGCCGTGATGTTCATTTCAAACTGGGGTGCTGCGGTGGCGAGATGTTTACTACCTCGCCTGGTATACAGGAGGTCGTGGTTGATCCCGACCCTGATACCTGCTGCTGCTGTAGATTCAGAGTTTGCGGGTCCTCCTGTTTTTTCCTCTACATTTAGAATCAACACACATTTAGAGTATTCGCCTGCTGTACATTAACACGTGATAAGCCACTTTGTTAAGCTATCATTTGTGGCCAGGTCGCTTCTGAAAAGAGAGCTACATATTCAAAGAAACCAATCTACGTAACTTTACCGAAAGACCCAAAGAATATTAATTCCTGCAGTCACGAAAGCTTTAAGTCAAGAATTGAGAGCTACATAGCTCAGTGGGCCTTGCCTGGTAAAAAAAAGTTTATAGTTTACATAGTTTTAACTTGGGATATAGTTCATAACCTTGCTATTCACTCCACCAGATGCATCGCGCGAGGCCACACTCACTGGAAGGCGGCCGCCCACTTGGCGTGCAGAGCCTCGCCGTACTGCGCCCGGAAGTCGTGCAGCAGCAACAGCAGCTGCTGCACGGGGACTCCGAGACCCTGCAACACAACCACTGCCATGGAGTCCTGGCACTGGGATGTCTTGGTGTGCTCTTACACTATCGTTGTTGTTGTGCTGCCTGGCCCAAGCTTGCACTTGGAATTTATGTACGAGTGCAGTTTGTACGTCCACGCTTCATTTACGTTAATATGTATATATTTGTTTTGTGACTTGCTTAACATCTTACTCTAGTATCCTTTATTGTATTAATTTGGTGATGTCACTTTCTGAACCCCGTCACCCACTGGACATCTGTGAAAAAGAGCTTCATAGCTCATCAGATTCCTCCAGGATAAACAGGGATTCTGATTCACTGCCCATTCAGCAACACACTGCAAACACAGCAAGCGTGGAGCAACCACAACTTTAGATCGGTAACTACAGCGCACAAAGGCCGTCTAAGAACTTAATGCCATCATCGACAATTTGCAATCAGCAAAACACAACACTCGGTTACCAACTGAAATGCACTCCCGGCTCCGTGAAGGGGCGGCTTACATTTGCAGAATTTTTAACACGACACCGCTCTACAGGATGGTGTTCGTGACTATGGTTTGGGCTTTTATGATATTCTGATGAAGTTATATTATCGAGACAGAATTGCTCTCATCCTGATTTCACGATGGTACGATTAAAATAATGCAAATATATTCCTACGAGCGAATGTCAGTTGAATAAACGGTTATCGAGAAAAATAGGAGGTATTACATTTAGGGTAGCCCTCGTACGTAAACATTAGGAACGGAAGTAAAATATGGGTTTGGGTTTTGGGGGGGAAATAAAAAGTTGTGATTTTCAGTGAGCGTTGAAGAGGTGAGACGAAGGCAAGTTAGCGACTCGTGTCGCTGGGCAAGCGGGAGGCGCCAGATCTCTCCCAAAGCCAGGGCTGGCGCTGCGGGGCGACGGCTCGCCTGCATGGTGTCAGCAAAAGAGACGAGGAGCTCCTTAAGGCCTCGCACCAGCTCCGGCTCACTGCAGCAAGTCTGCTGAGAGAGCACAAGTAAGTCAATATTCACACTTCCACGTGCCGTACCCATACGGACAAGAGGCTGTGTACACGCACGCATGCCATATTCTTCGGTGCATATCGAGCATGATGATGAAATACGTGCAAAGAGCATTGCATGTTCTCTTTCTGAGCGAAGTGCTGGTTTGTTGTGGGAAGCAGATTTCATGATGACTTGTGAGCTCACGAGTGTTTCGTGTTACACTGCTAAGGTGGCCACAGAAGTGAAACGCGCTGAAACAAGCTCGTCGGGACATTTTACACCCTCCCATTCTCACACACTCAGGCAGTCTCGACTGATTTCACAGAGGCTGGGTGGGATTCTGTGGCAGATGACTCCATTTTGGTCGGCCATCCAGATCTCAAGATTAAACATCTGTTGAACGCATTTCAGATTTGTTTGCATGCACGCAGACTCATTTCTCTTTATGGTGTAATGGAGACGTTTATCATTTTAAATGGCACGCATCAGGTCATTATTGCACGGGACTTGGGAATTCATCACATCCCTATCAAACTTGTTCTGTATGCATGATGCACTTTTAAATATAAATTTTAACTCAAATCTTTAAAACTGCTATTTGTGTTAAGTTCGTTGTCCTTCCCCCGCGCCTCCGCTTAGCACGGTTGGCTACATACGGTGCAAAAGAAGTTCACCACACATACACACGTGTTGAACTTCTTTCGCATCGTACCGTACGTCGCCAACCGTGCTAATGGGTTCCAATGACGACGTTTAACCTGCGTACATTCGCGTGAGCATCTCTTTGAAACGAGCGACAGCATTGTGTAGCGGGGATCGCGAGACACGTGGGGTAGTGAGCGGCGGCGGGGCGCCGTGCGCACGTACAGCGAGCGTGCGGACCGCTGCGAGCACGCGGGTCAGGGCCGAGTCCCAGAGCTCGAGAAGGTGCAGCCGCTCCAGCAGTCCCCGCGTGCTGCACAGCACTCGCTCCTCCACCACGAAGAACCTGCTCGGTCCCGCGTCCACACGCACAGCACAGCAAACGCATTGCCGCTAGCGTGAGCCGGAGGATGCTTGATGCAGTGTCAAAGTGAAATGTCGTTTCTATTGGACAAATTTCATCGCGAACATTGATCTCCGAGTTAGCGTTCAGCTGAAACTCCTCCAGGATAAATAAAGATCCAGATTCTGATGATTCAGCTAAACCATTGTACATTGCAGTTGCCAATAGTGGCTTGCATACTACAATCTAGTTCTTGACCAACCTGCTTAGGAAGTAATTTAGGTATACTGGCTCAGCTATGACTCTAGGACAGAGTAGAGACAATTAAAAGATTCTGTTCATGAAAACAAGGAAGATTAGCCTCTCCCCAAGTGTTTAAAATGGAATGCAACTCTTAAACATGCAATGCAAAATACATTATCGGTATGTCTTATATGTGTCCTGGGGTATCTTACACAAATTTAAAGCTAACCGGAGTACTATAATGGCACTCCTGAGTATTACTATGAAGTGTGTTTTCGTTTCCCATTCTCGTGAGCAACATAAAAATGCACCATCAAAAACCTTTATGCGTTTAATTCGGCCAAGCTCAGGTGTGGATGGTTATTCATGGTCGGAGGCAATAAATGAACACGTGAGGAGAGTGTCAGTAAGATCCTTGAAGGGGACAGCAGGTCTGTCGTGTTGCTTTGGGGTTGTTCCCTAAGTTGGCGGCCATGTTTGTTGTGTCTTTTTAGGGGCAACCAAAATGGAGGATTCTTGCAATACGCGTTCATGCAATGGGGATATAACTGATGGTTGAAAAAAAACGAAAATAAAAGTAGGGAGAACAAAAAATCACGGACAAATATACCTGCCAACTTTTAATGACAGAACTGGGGCAACGCCTTCTTACGAGATGGAGAGCGTGAGAATTAATAGCAGGCACCAGCGCTACAACACAATAGCAGCCGTGGTAAACCCAGCAGGCCAGGTGCAAAGCATTTCTCTCTCTTTGGAGCGTGCTGTCTCCCACATGGGTGTTAACCCACATTCTCATCGGGTAATGTTGGCAGCTATATGCATCATGATTTTCACGTTTAGGAAAAAAATTCTTCCCACGCATTGCTTCTGCGATGAATAATTCTCGCACGACCTTTGATGCCAGACCGCCCATGAGCTGTGAACACATGGGTATGAAACGCCTGCACTCTGAGGCAACGTTTGGTGAATAGAAAATATCTCTCTGAGCTGACGTTCTCCCTTCATTTTCACCGTCTTCTCACCTCTCCATGGAGAGAACTGTGAGGTAACCACAACCTGCCAGTGCACAGTATAATACTGTATATCTCCATACGTAGCATGACATCCAACATCCTTAACCTGGCCCCACCACGGCCTTGTAAGTGGTAAATCAGACAATGAGCCTAATGTTGTTTAAACCATCTACGTTAATAAGCTGAATCCGTTTTCAGAAAGACAATGGCATGTGCCCTTCTGTGACACTACCACTTTTTTATTTGTTTCATCTTTTTAAATAAACGAGAGCACAACTTGTATATGAGTCACATATATCTATAAACCTCGAGTAACACAATCGTGTTTAAAGAGCCATGATAAGGCACTTTTAGAATTCATTGTTAATGGCCGAGGCTTAGAGAGCCAGACTAAAGTACTATTCAGGATTTTAGGACTCATCTTTAATGTCTGTGGCTCTGAGACCCAGCTCAAGGCACCTAGAGGATAATTATGGTGAACTGGTAATGTATGAGGCTCACAGAGATAATTCGAGAGTCGCAATACTATGGGAAACCAGCTCGCAGTGTTCATGGAAAAACACTGTTTTTAACAGCGGTTTTATGATTGCGAATCTTTTATTTATTTTATCTGTACTTTAAAATAGAAAAAAGCCTCACCGAGTCTCAAAATGAGGATTTTGCTTATGTACTTTAGTGCACACGGGTTCACAGCGCAGCGCTCACAGGCCGCGCACAGAACAGCTTGAACGTGTGCCGTGCCGTCTGTTTAACCACCTTGGCAAGCTCGTTGGAAAGAGCTTCCACGGCCTAGATGGGCAACACACAGTGGGTCCATGTGCACTCAGAAATCCACGGGGATAGCTTATCTGTCGTTTTTAAGTGAACAGTATTTATTGGGCTCTTTATAGAACGGCCCAGAGTCAAACCTGGGTCTGCATAACTCAGTGGCTTTGCGAGCAGGTCTGTGTTGTTACGATGTGAACGGATTCACTTCGAAATGGCGACTTGTCATAATAAAGCCTGTGTTGCCAATTGTAGACCAGTGTTGTTGTCGGCATGACAATGTTATGATAAGCACGTGCCTGTCAACATACGCAGTTTATTGCCCACAGAGACCACCGCCTTGAAAGTGTCTCACCTCCTGCTCCCAGGTCTTCCCCTTGCTTGCTGGACTCGTGCGAACCATTCTCACGCCTGTCTCCGTAACTGGCCCTTCTCCATCCTGCGTACGTGTCCCCCCCACCCTACCTCATCACGTCCGCAACACTAACCTACCACTGTCCTCTTCTCGGTGTTATGCATCGCTTATCCTATCTTGCCTTGAAGTTCCCAGAATCTGTTTCAGACACCTAAGAAGAATATGGATGTATAAGGCGCCTTAAACAATGTATCTCGGAGCGCCATGCAGGTAAAGAAGGAAGGAATGAGTGATAGGAACTGGGGAGAGAAAAACTAAAGAGACCAGGTTGAGGACCAGAGAGATAGGAGGCCGCCGCGTCAGACAGGTGGTGGGGTTTTCAGCCGGGATCTAAAAGTCTCCATCTCCTGCGAGTTCCCGACCGTCATGGGAACTCCGAAGCCTGGGCAGCGTGCAGACAGCAGCCCCGTGGCCACCCCGGCGCCGTGCTCACGCCGAGTAGTAGGGGGCACGGCCCGCGGATCTCAGAGGTCAAGGTGGAGTGCGTGACTGAAGCAGCTGCTGCACGTATGGTGGTGCGAGCCCATTGAAAGCCTTGAACACCGGTCGGAGAATCCTAAAACTCAACGTGGGTCGGAACTGTAAGCCAGTGCAGGGACGTGATGAGCGCAGCTGTGAGAGAGAGAAATGGTCCCGAAGGGGAGTGAGAGCGAGTGCCCTGGCAGCCGGCGGTGGGCGGACTGCAGGCTACTGAGGAGGTACTCGGGGCTCCGAGGAACTGCAACTCCGCCCAAATGCCAACAAACTGTTGTTTGAGCTGCTTAGCGTCCAGCCCTCTGATCCATACACACAAACCCCCAGAGACATGGGGCTGATGTACCCTCTGAGGTGGTTTGCCCCACTCCCACAATGCACTGCGCTTGTGCCGATTTGTCCTGTGCGTTGAGCGTGGATGTAGGTGCACTGAACACCCACCCGACAATCTGGTTGAAGTATTTCCTGTAGCTGTCCAAAGTTTGTGTCTGCACAACAACAACAACAAAACATACACACTTTACAAACGTTAATTGGCACCATTGTTTGAAGTTCACTCTATAGATTTACAGTCTTGGGAAAACAATACTTCATTAAATTGCACTGCTTTTCATTATTAGCAAAAAACAGCAGTAATCTTTATCTTACCGATTAATGCATCTAACATCTACAATTTTAATTATGTGGATACACGTGGTTTTCTACGCACTACATTACATTCAGGAGCAGCAAAAACACGCTTGAAACCTGTCTTAGAATGTGGAGTTTTAATGTATACAGAGGGATTTTCAAGGACTTTCGACAGTTATGATTAGGATCATAAAATAGCATAGATTGTGTAAACATCCTGATCTTTTGTAGCAATTCTAACAGAACGTGTAGCTTCAAACTCAGGAGCAGGCAACAGGGTAGCGGTGTGTTTTTATATGAAGTGTGTGTTTTGTGAAAATGTGTGTGTGTGAGTTGCATGGGTAGGGCCATGTGTGCCTATGCTCAATGCGAAGTCAACTTGGCACTCTGCCATGAAAATGAAATAAATGCGGAATGTACTCTACACCAGAAACAGAACTCATGCTAAATTGTACCACACAAATGTTTTATATCAAATTGACTAAATATAATCCATAACAGCAGCACGTTTTACAGAAGGTTTTACATTTTATTGGCATTGCTTATTCATCGCATGCTTTTCTAACCGCCATAAAGTGCTAAACTGTTTCAAGCATCAAAAATATGTTGCTTGCAAACTTCAATGAAAAACATAGGTCTGCAGAGGGCTGCAAATAATGATTTGTCAGTAAAGCCTGAGATTAATCTTGCACCCTGTTCACCGAAGGGAATGCATGGCCTTCCAGCAAATATTTAAAGGTGAGAGAATGATTGAGTCTGCACAGTATTATAGAAAAACGGCACAACTACTAAGCAAGCATAACAACCAACGGGTGTTTACATATAAACACGAAAATCCAATCACGACCTTTAAAATAGTGAAAGTGTGGCCTTGATACATGTCATGGTCGTGCAGTGTGGTGGAAAATGTTGGTTAGGGTGGGGAGTGCTGGGGCACTGCACTACGAAACTGACGACCCGAGTTCGATTCCCAGCCACGGCTAACATCAAGTGACAATTCATATCTGAATTGGTCCTGGGTCTGTCTGAGGTCAACTTTACCTCAAATGAGTAGCTGGTGCAACGTGTAAAGCATCAGCACGGGTGAGACTAAGCTGGCCGGGCAGGGTGCTGGCCACACCACCTTCTGCACCGCGCCGGTCTTAACAGGCGCTCACTAACGCCACTTGCGACGATGGCCTATTTCGACAACACGGCTCGTTGTGTGAACGCGTCGGCGTCGACGCCTCACCGAGCTGCAGGGAGGCTGGCTCACGAGCTGCACTTGCTCTCGGCGCTGCTGCCGGTAATACGTCTGGAAGGCAGCTTCGTCTCCCTGCAAGAGACACGCGCGCCGCACACAGACACCCGCATGGACACGCACAGACGCACACAGTGACACGCACAGGTGCGCGCACGTACAGACACGTGAGCCCACACAAACATCGCATTGAATAGACTGAGTGCAAAAATTGCTATCAAGCACCATCTTAGTAAGAACATATAAAGGCAGACAATGTATCTCTATATCTTTCGACAGATATATAAAGGAGACGTCTCTGCTCATTCATAGGGTCTCAGTGATATGCGACACGACAATAGATATTGCACGACAGAAGTTCCACTTGTCGAATCTACCATTTTGCTAAACATTGTCATATCGTGATTATCCTTGATTAAATATACCCTCCTGACCAAATATTTGTGAAATAACAATTAAAGTTCACTATACATCGATAATTGGGGTTCTAAAAATATATTTTTAAACTAGTGCTTTGTCGGAGAAAGTGACAGCATTACAATTAAATAATGTCATGATTATTTGACAGAATGCGACTATAAACGTAATATTGTAAAGTTCCAAGACTCATTGTAGGCGTATAATGAGCGAACTGCAGCCGGTTGACTTTTAAGCAATCTTAGTTCATACTCCAAGCGCCTCAAAGCAAAAAAAGTCAACGATAAAAATGTGAAACACAAATACAAAAGTAAGGGAAAGTGATGTAAACATATTTGCCGTGATATTTAATCGTGTATAGCATCGTGTGAAATCACATCGCAGCCACCCTGCTTATAAGAGCGCAATGACACCGCGACATGGGCTTGGTGGTGCATCCTCGGGCCACTGCTGGTGGCCTTGGTGCCCCCCATTGCTGACGCTGCAAACACCTCGCGGGACCTCAGTCTGTGTCCCAGTCAATCAACAGACTGCAGGGGCGAGTGCTGTTAGCGAGCAGCACCTGTGAAGGCCGGCACGGCGCACGAGGGCGTGGGTGGCCAGCACCACGCCCGGCCACCTTTGTCTCTCTAGTGGCGATGATTACACACCGCACCAGATACTAATTTATGCTGAGTAGACCTAGGGGAGGCCCAGGACCAGTTCTGATTAATCGTCACTTGTGTTGGCCGTGAACGGGAATCAAACTCGGGTGGCAGAGTTCGTAGCGCAGCACGGCGCTAACCGCTACGCCAACGCTCCATTCCCCAAACACCCCCACACGCATCCCGATGGCGCGCGTGTTGCACCCGACACGCGTTAACCCCGACACGCTGCACACCGACACACGGAGCACCCGGACACGCGTTGACCCCGACACGCTGCACACCGACACGCGTTGACCCCGACACGCGTTGACCCCGACACGCTGCACACCGACAAGCGTTGACCCCGACAAGCGTTGACCCCGACACGCGTTGACCCCGACACGCTGCACACCGACACGCGTTGACCCCGACACGCATTGCACCCCGACACGTGTTGCACCCCGATACACGGAGCACTCCGACACGTGTTGCACCCCGACACACGCTGCACCCGGACACGCGGAGCACCCCGACACACGGAGCACCCGGACACGCGCACGTGCCGCAGCCCGTGTGTGCTTTACCACCGCTCGTGTTGATCTTGGAATTTTAAATTCCACCCGCTGCTAATGAATGATTGATGTTGTGGTACAATTATTAGGCAGAGTTGTGATTTTTGAGGTATGTTTGGCTTGCCGCGCTGCAAGTCAAAGGCAAATCCCAAATTGCATCGAGCCTCTGGCAGCGCTGCTCCTGGTGCAAGTGTTGCTCTAACCGCCTCTACATTGCCAGGTTAGGGCTCAGAATATCTATAGAGCATTGTATTCAATTTCCTCTCACTCCTGACGTAAAACCTACAGGATCGAATACTGTAGACACCTTTCCGAATTCGTTTTTACCAACATCGGATTGTTGGTCTTATCCTTTCACTCGAAAACCTGGACACGTACTAAAGTCTTCTTTTGGCGATTTGGTTAATAACAATTATAATCGCACGTGACCAATGTTTAATACTGTTGTTAGACTTTTTCCTTGTGATATAGTTAGCTCGTTAATATACACTTTCAAAACTTGCCTCTGTTGTGTCAAAGTTGTAGACATCCCATTTGCATCCAAAGGTACCGAGGCGAGACGCTTCACGCACTGCGGTACGATGTACGTTGTGTTCACACGTTGCAGGCAACATGACATCTGTCCTGCCGGTACGATGTGCGTTGTGTTCACACGTTGCAGGCAACATGACATCTGTCCTGCCGGTACGATGTACGTTGTGTTCACACGTTGCAGGCAACATGACATCTGTCCTGCCGGTACGATGTACGTTGTGTTCACACGTTGCAGGCAACATGACATCTGTCCTGCCTTGATAGGTGGTTCGAGGTTCTGAAAGGCACTTGCGTGGGTTCGATACGGAGGGAACGGTGGGACGTTGTTTGGCGGCTTGCGAGTCGTTGTCTCCTGAGTGCTCGCAGCCGCCCTTGAATACGAGAGGGCGTCAAGTGCGCAGGGCGGACGCGATATCACGTGTCGCGCCGTGACCACGTGTCTCAATAGCGCGTTCCCATCACGAGACAAGTTGTAGTTCACAACCCTATTGTGTTTGCACTCTGCTGTACTTCCAGTATGGTTAAAAAAATGTCTTCAAAGTTCATCAATTTCGTAAATATTTTGTCGGGAAATAAAATATTTTAGAGAAACGAAAATCACGGTATAGCGACATGATTACGATGCACCTATTATCGTATGATGCGTCATGGAATCGTCATATCACGCAACCCTCCAGGTGTTGTGATGGTCACGGCTCATTCACCACTGAGTGTCCAATGTGTTGTTTGTTTACCTGTGCTTTGCCCTCGTCCATATGTACACAACAAGAATGAACACCTTTCAGTTTTGCAAAAGCTGAACGTGATGGGGTTCTTTGGTAAAGATTGGAACATTCACAGAAACATTGTTTCCATTGGTTATCAATTCCTACACCAAAATACATTTTATAAATCAGTTCTTCAACTTATGTACACATGACTCAGGTTGCAGGGAGACGAATGTGCAATGTGTGTATCTAGAGTGATATATACAAAAGACGATGTACGTGTTTACGTTGCTGAGGAGCGCTTTTGTGCCAATATTCCCCCAAGGGAGACCTGCCGTGGGTGAGTTTGTGCTGTGCCCCTTGCGAGTCGTCCCCCGGTGTGCCACGAGACTCTTGCTTTACAGTGCTCCTTGTACTTCCCTAGAATGTCACGATATAAATGGTAAATGTCGTTGTTTTAATAATAAATGTATGTAAACACAAACCGTATGTAGCTGTCATACATAATCGGCAGAAAAGCACGACCTCCAGTCTCTTTGGATCACACTTCAAGTCCCTGGTTTCTGATTGTGTTTGCTTTGGTAAATTACAGATTTTTTTTTCCACCCTTTATTTTCGTTCGTAGAAGGAATGTAGTCGTGTTTTTGTTTTATGTTTTCAACGGGTTTCCTATTCCTGTAACGTGTACAACCGACGAAACCACGATTGTCACTCCCATCTGTACTGTGTAACATCTGTACGCTAATGAAAGAGTCTAGCAGCTCACCGGCCCCCTCCTGCAGAAACAAATACAATCTCTATATAAGAACACCGATGATTGACTCGCTGAATGTTGATGCTGTATGGGGAGGAGAAATGCTGAAGTATGTCACTGAAAATACCTTAACATTCTCACGTAAATTACACAAAACTCAGCGCCCTCGGTGCGATGTGTCACTATTTACAAGTGTACAGGACTGGCCTTGTGCATTGATCGCCAACTGCTCGCTAACGGGTGTGCATCAGAGCAGGACTTGTGGTTTATAAACGAGGCCAACTCAGCGTCGCTGTGGCCCAGACACCGGTGCCACTTTGCCCCGTGTGAGCCCAAGGGCCCCCACATGCCCCTGGCTCAAAGTTGAGGCCCTTTCAATGGAAACGGCTCTCGCTCAAAAAAAGTTCTCGGCAGTTTAAAACGGTCTCACCGACGTTGTCACAAATAGGAAAACGTAACACATGCCACATTCCCCGCATTATGAGATGCTCCAAAAGGCAAGCCGCACCCGCACACCGTACCCGGCGTCGTCACGCGTTCACGTGACCCCCGCAATGCGACGGAGCTCAAGTACTTTCATCACGAACTTCTTCTTTCGTCTGGCTCATGTGCACGCACAGCAACAACTACAATTCCACAATTGTTATCACAATGATAAATAAAGAACTTAAATCACGACTATGCATTGCATGGCATGGCAGGCGAGTCATTATACTCCAATTATAACGTTATTGTGATTATAAAGTTATTGCGATTAGAATTAATGCTGCTGTTGAAGGATTACATCTTGAAATTGTTTATTCCTGTGGCTAATGTGAAGATACATTTGTGGAAGTAGAGACTTTACTGAGGATGAGACATCAGTCGACACTTTTTTTTTCTATAAAACGCAGAGAATAAAAAAGCATGGACAGGATCCTGCTAAATAAGATTTGTTAAACTCGCATCACGGATGTGAGAACACTTTTAAGTTAAGCTTAGGGATCTCACCACTCTGTCAAGATTCTCTCCCACACTCTGCCCTACTGCGGAATTAGACCCACAACCACTGTTTCAATTCATAAAGGGTGCCACGAGTGGCGAGATGTTAACTACCTCGCCTGGTATACAGGAAGTCGTAGGTTCGATCCCGACCCTGTTCTCCCAGTGGTCGCGTAAATTTTTCTCCGGGTCCTCTGGGTTTATCCCCCCACATTTAGAGACATGCGTTTAAAGTATTTGCCTGGTATACATTTCCACAATATAAGCCACTTCATTGAGCTATCATTTGTGAAAAAGCGCTAATTGCTCAGTGGGCCTTACCTGTTAAAAAATGTTTTACATAAATAAAGCACCCCTTTACACTGATGGGAAATAACTTCCCGTTAATGTGCACCCTAGTCAATTAAGGCCAGACACAATCCACAAAATAAATGACGTCAATGAGTCGGTTCCTACCACGGCTATGCGTCCTAGGCTGTCTGAT